TCCAGACACACTAAGCCACTTTATTTTTGACAAAGGTGCCAAACATGTACACTACAAGAAAGATAGCCTCTTCAATAAATGGTGCTGGAAAAACCTGGCTCTACATATGCTGAAAATTAAATCTGGACTCCTATCTTTCACCATGTACTAAACTAAAATAAGAATGGATCAAAGATCTTAATATTAAAACAGAAACACTAAATATCTGGTAGAGATGGTAAAACTCTTAAAGACATTGGTGTAGGCAAAGACTTTATGCACAAAATCCTGATTGCATAAAAACTGTCACAAAGAATCAACACATGGGATCTTACCTTACTGAAAAGCTTTTGTATGGCAAGAAAAACCACCAACAGAGTAAAAAGACAACCTAGGAGGTGGGAGAAAATGTTTGCCAGCTGTTCCTCAGACAAAGGGTTACTACTGAGAACATACAAAGAATTCAACAAAATCGGTCCTCCCAGATTTAAAGACCCAATCCAAAAATGGGCATCTGAGATGAATACATACTACTTAGATGAAGAAATACAAACAGCAAATATATATGTGAAAAATGTTCACTGGTCATTTGAGAGATGGAAATTAAAACAATACTAAAATTCTACCCCACCCCAGAAAGAATGCCTAGTATCAGGAAATCAAGCATTAACTTGATGCTGTAGGGGTTGTGGGACAAAAGGAACCCTTCTCCACTGTTGGTAGGAATGCAGATGGTACAACCACTGTGGAAATCAGTATGGAGATTCCTCAGACAAATAAGATTGGAGATCCCATTCACCCAGGTATTCCTCTTCTGGGTATCTTCCCAAAGGAATGAATAAAATCATGCCACAGTGATATATGTGCACCCATTTTTATAGCAGCACAGTTTATAATAGCCAAATCTTGGTAACAATCTAAAAGCCCATCAACTGAGGGATGGATAAAAAAAGATGTGGTATTTTTAATCAATGGAGTACTACTCAGCTATAAAGAATGATAAACTAGACATTTTTATAGGTAAATGGATACACTTTGAGAACATACTCATTAGTGAAAGTAAGACACACATGTGTAAACATTGTATTGTTTCATTAGTGTAACAAGGTGAAAGAAGAAACCATGTGTATGTATATGTATATAAAAATAGTTAAGATAGTTATACTACTGATTTCTCTAAATTCTCTGAAAAGAAAGATTTGTACTGGTAATGTTCGGACAATTGAAGGTAGATAGCTCTGGGTGAATGATTTAGGGATGACGATGTACAATATATGTACCACTGTTGCCTCCTGACTGATGTGTTTTGAAATTCTGATGTAGTTTTTTATCCTTTTCTTTCTTTTTTTAAATCCTTGAAATAAAATGGACTTAGAAAAAATAGAATTCTAAAAAGAAAAAAAAATACCTTTTAAGATAGAAAATCAAGCTAGGCATGGTGGTGCACACCTGTAGTCCCAAATTTAAAAGGATCACTGCCAGCATGGGCTACAAAGTGAGTTCAAGGCCAGCCTGAGCCATATAGTGAAACCTTGCCCCCACCAAAAAAAAGATAAAATCAATTGGGAAAAAAAGTTGCATACGAAAAATTATTTAATACACAGTACTACTAAATAGCTTTAATCTATTCAATAAAGCAAATCAGTAACATAAAACTTGACACAAACCCATAGGCTTTTAGTGATGAATCCTTTTAAATGTGCAAGAAAAGAAATTACACAACTTGTCAAGGGTAAAAAAAAAAAAAAGCAGGGTCACTTTCTGACCCCTATTCCAAACTGTAACAAGAATGTACAAAACAAAACCACAGACTAACAACCCTTATTAATAGGTACATAAAAATCCTCAAAAAAGAACACCTGGTATCAGGGACAATACTATACTAGGTCAGCCAGTGCAGTAAGGCAAAAGCAAGAAGTACTATTATATGGAAGAATAGAAGAAAACAAAACTTTTTATTTGCAGAATTCATAAAATATGCTCTGGAATTCACAACAGAAGCAGTACAACTGAAAAATGAAATTCACCAAGACTGTGAGAATAAAGTCAGTATACATATGAAAATAATTAATTTTATATAAAACAGCAGCAAAAAGTTGGCAAATACAGAAACAAATTCTATAGACTATGTTATTTAAAAATATAAAATAGTGGGGAGGGCATTACCTCAGAGGGGTGGCAGCATCCTAACAAGCCTGAAGTCTTGAGTTTAATTCCTAGTACCTAACCCCCCAAAAACAAAAACCATATATCCAATATATATAAAATATTGCTGAAATGAAAGACTTTCAAATGGACAGATGTTTATCACACTCAAAGATTGGAAAATTCAGCAATTACTCAAACTGACCATTTTCTCTTTAGTGAACTTTTTGGGTACAGAAGTAACATGTTGATGTTAAAATTTACATGAAAGTGCAAAGGATTCAGAACAGACAAAACAACTAGCAGTCACACTCTACCCATCACAAGACAATGTGACCTAAGGATAAGACAAGCATATCCATGAGATTCCAAAAGGGACACACAGCTGACACCTAGCAGGACACGAAAAGAGAACACTTCCTTTATATATCATACACAGTGATAACCCAAAATGTACCATGATGCCAACTCTAAAAAGTGGCATTTCTCAAACTTCTAAACTACAAAATCTTTGTGATACTTATGTGAACACCATAAAAATTTTGATAAAATGCACTTACTTCAACTAATCAAGAACTTTTCATTTTTCAAAACACATAAACTGAAAGGTAAGCTACATACCAGAAGAAAACACTCATAAGATCTTATATACTGTATCTGAGAAGGGACTTGTATCTAGAATACAGAATTTTAATAACTCTACTTAACAATGTAAAATACCTCTAATTTAAAACAAATAAGCACAGCGCCTGTCTGGCAAGTACCAGGTCCTGAATTTGATTCCTAGTACCAACAAAACAAAACAAAACAAAACAAAACAAAACAAAACAAAACAAAACAAAACAAAACAAGTAAAAATTAACATTTCACAAAGATACATGAATAACCACCAGATACATAAGTGCTTGATATTACTATTCATGAAGGAAATACAAATTAAGTCAACAAATGAATTACCACATTAAACACAATATAATCAGTAAAATTATAAACAGTTAATGTTGGATTAAGAATAACTGGACTATTCCTATTTTGATAGTGGAATATAAATTTCATAAATACTTTGGAAAATACTGTGGCAGTTTCCTTCTTCCTTTGTTTCTTTTAAGACAGGGTTTCACTATGCAATTCAGGCTGGTCTTGAACTCACAGCAATCCTCCTTCCTCAGCCTCCTGAGTGGGATTATATGCAGCAAAAGGATCACTGAGTTCAAAGTCAGCCTGGACTACATAGTGAGTTCCAGGCCAGCCTAGAATAAATTCAAGATTCTATCTCAAAGAAAGTCCAAACAAAGAAACCAAGATACAGGAAATAAAACAAAGCTGGGCACGGTGGTATGCACCAATAATCGCAGTACTCTGTGAAGATGAGGCAGGAGGATCTCAAATTCAGTACTTCAAGCATGTCCTTGTGTCACCAATACCAGCATCAACTGCATCTCGCTCAGCAGGAAAAATCTTAGGTGGAACCTATGCCTAACTGAATTACATGGTGGTGAGCCCACCAATGACTTCATAAGCCCTTTGGTGATTCTGATGCTCCTCAAAGTCAAAGAATCACTGCCACCACTTGGACTCAATCCTGAAGTCAATCTTCCTCCTTTGCATGTATAATCATCTAGTAGCAGTAAATCTCACCTAAGGAGTACAAAGTCCCTGAGAAAAAAATGGTAGATGGTTCATCTTTTTCTCAGCTTGTACAAAAGTTTACTGCATGCTAACAGCAAGCCTAGTTTCCCAGGCCTAAAAGACAGGATCTTCCCTCCCACTTCTCTTTCCTCCCTCCATACCTCTCTCCTTTCTTTTTGCGTAGTATTAAAGATTGAATCTAGAGGAATTTTTGGTACTAGGAATCGAACTCAGGACCGTGCACTTACCAGGCAGGTGCTGTGCAGCTGAGCTGGCCCACCTGCCAGGCAAGAACTCTACTGCTAAGCTACCCAACCCTTTTAAAATTTTGAGAAAGGGAGTCACTAATTGCCCTGGCTGCCTTTGAATTTACGATCCTTTTACTTTAACCTCTCAAATAGCTGAGGATTATAGGTATGTGCCATTATGCCTAGCAAGATGTCTTAACATTCTGAAACACATGGTGTCAGAGCACCCATAGACTGGGAACTCATTGTCTGGCCTTTTTTAGTTTTTCCTGTGTAGTTTTGTTCTGCATAGAAAAGTACAAAGAAAATGGGTATTAAGATCAAAACACAGGACTTAGTGGGGTGTGGTGGGATGACCGTAATCTAAGCTACTCAAGACACTGAGGCACGGAGGATCACCTGAGCTCAAAAGTTCCAGGTCAATCTGGGCCACAGAGGGAGATCCTGTCTCACAAGTAAACAAAACCAAAGGAAAGATGTTATCAGGAAGCTCTTTTATTTGCATGCACAAATAATATTTGCTTTCAATCTCTATACATCTGAGAGCACTGGAGAGCTGTTTATGTGGCAGTTATGGTGTGAGCCCAGAGGCTCCAAGTTAATTATGCTACTGCTACCAGTTTTATGAACAGAAGACCTGCATGCATCAGCAATAAAGTAAAACAATGTTGTAAAAAGTAGTTTTAATGAATGTTTTAGGCGGTATTTTTAACACTATTATTAGAGGAAGACTACTGTACCAATACACAAAAGGAAGAAATTCTACACATCTATATGACAGCAGGTGTAACTTAACAGTAAATGATACAGATTTGAGAAAGTAAAGTCAAAGATTATTGAAAAGAAGAACACAGGGCACAAACCTCCATTTTTATATATTTGGTCTACATTGTTCTATACTGGCTAATGATGGGTTCTGGGTTCTTATAAGAGAGACAACACTGTGACTGATTAATTGGTTTCCTTGGCAAGAAACACAGGAAGATCAGGACTACTTACGTTATATCCCTTCGCTGATAGCAGCCCTGAAGCAGGCAGGCAATCAGGTCACTGATAAACTCTACATCATCTCTGTGGAGAGCTGCCTCTAGTTCCTAAAAGAGGGAAGGTGAGAGGGTGGGGAGGGAAGGAGACAGGGAGAGAGAGACAGAGATCAGTAAGGCACTTCTGAAAATCCATCTGTTCCTTCATACAACCAACATCACAAGACCCCATCAACACAATGATTCCTGGTCATCAGCTCTGCCTTGCTCCCACACTGCTGCTAGAAGAACAAAGTTTAGCTTTTTGGATTTCTTTGGGGTTCATTCCCTCTCATTGTTCCTTACTAGGCCACATGCTTTTATTTGCATACTGGAAGCAACACACATATCACTTTGTTTATAAATTGATGGTAACTGTATAATTGAAGAACTTAACTAAGAAAATATGCTGCATTGCATTCTATTTTCATGGCAAAAGAGAATATAGGAACATCATGTAACTGTATTCATTCACTCAACAATTTCAATAGATTAAACCACCTGCAATGCATTTAAAAAACAGCACTGATAAAAGCAATATGGTAACTTTTATTTTGAGGACATTACACCTACACAACTAATGAGAAAGATTACTAGGACTAAAATTAACCTTACATCATCTGGAGAGAAATGAGGTAATGTCTGTTAATTGTCTAATCCTAGGTGAGATGCCTGTGCTTTCCTTAGGGTTCAGGTAGATACTGCTGGTGACTTAGCTTGTCTCAGCACAATACTCTCAGTAAGATTAGCTGAGGGCGGCCACTGGAACAAAAGTGGCAGTGGGAAATTTCAGTGGATCCTTTCTTTTCTCGACATCCATAGATAAACACGTATTTCTGAGGTGAGGTATGTAAGTCATCAACTCTTACACAATGTAATTTTGACTGTATCCTTTTATCCACCGATGTTGGCCCTCTTTGCATGTAAACTACATACCCAGAGTCTGCTTACAGTTGATTAGTTCATTACTCCATAGACAAATAAAACTTCTGATAATCTCACTAGCAGTTTTTCGGATAGAGCATCTTGTTACGTAGTCCAAGCTGACCTTGAACTCACTGTGGAGTCCAGGGAGGCCTCAAACATGCAGTGATTCTCCTGCCTCAGCCTCCCAACTACCGGGATTACAGGCCTGTGCCACCACACTCAGTTTATTAGTGGTTTTGAAAGTATTAGATGTGCATGAGCTCAACTTCTTATCAATACTAATTATATGGCAGTATACACTTAGGAGGATATTACACTTCTAGAATTGAAAGTTATGTAAACTACTATAATTGTTCTATTTATTATTTAATTGTTAAAAATTCCTAAAGTCTGGCCAAGCATAGTAGTGCATGCTTATAATCCCAGCACTCTGGGGGGTAAGGACCAGTATGGCAACTAATCAAGCATCACAAATAAAAAACAAAAACAAAACAGGATTTGGGGATGTAGCTTAGGGCAAAGGCCCCAAGTTCAATCCTTCATACTGGGCAAAAAAATCCTAAATTTGAGTACTCTCACTATAAAACTTTAAAGGATATAAAATTGCCCCTTTTGGTATTGGGAGATACGGTATGGTTAGAAGAGGTGAACCAGTGGGGCCATGACCCGAAAGGCTGGGTATCTCCTGCTGTAGCTCCACCCTTCCTGCTCTGCTTCCTAACTAGCACAACAGCTACCATTGTGAGGTTTCCTCTACAGCAGGCTCTTCTACCATACCATCTTTGCCCTGGAGCCAGCCAACAGTTTCTGAAATCTCTAGAAACTGTGAAACATAATAAACCTCTTCTCCTTTAAGAAAAAAAAAGTCATGCTTGGTGGTGCACACCTGAAATTCCAGCACTGTAGAAGCTCAGAAAAGCAAAGATTGTAGTGAGTTCAAGGACATCCTGAACAACACAACAAGACTCTGTCTCAAAGAAAGGGGAGGGCGATGGCCAAGTACACTACCAGTACTAATGGTTCAACTGAAGAGGAAAGTGATGACATTCAAAATCCAAAGCCAAGGCTCAGGATTCAAAGCATTTCACATAAACTTGGTATTACTAATAGTATATTAAAATATTAACTTATTAATATTTGTGTGGAATTCTTCTCTACATTTTAGTTAACTACCCAGAAACATAAGAGAATCTACTAATCAAGATACCAAGGATTTGATCTGTAATTAATCAATTCATTCATCAGCAAATATTTAAGATAACATAGTACTGTATTTCCTAAGCAGTTTAGGACTAAACAAGATGGTAGCAAAAATAAAAATGATTTTTTAGAAAATCATTTAGTACAGAACAGGTGCCACTGGTGCTATAGGAGTTAAGAAGGAAGAACTACCGTGAGCTGTGGAAAGCCTGAATGAGTTCATGAAGGTGGTGGTACCTGAGGTAGCAAAACTTTCAGTGAGTGCAGAATCAGGTGCAGAGAGCAACATGAACACAGGCCCCAAGAGGACAACAAAACTAGGTTTGGTTCAACTATTCTGTGGGTGACAGGCTGAGAGTTATGCAAGTTGAGACAGACAAGGGGCACTGGACCTAAAGCTGAGCCTGGCCTTTCTTTGGAGAAACTGGCGACCCACTCGTTTTATAGGGCAGAGGTACAGAAAGAGTAACCCACCTGCTGTACCTATAGGACACATTACAGTGGCGAAGAGTGAGGAGTGTCAGCACAAGCAACAATGTAGCAGAAAGGTTCCCAAACCTCACTGAACAACAAAAAGGAGGATCTCAAAACCCCCAGACATAAAGGAGACCCGTGGCAAGGAAGGTCAAATGAATCTTATTTTAAGCATGGTCACTGGGCAAGACTCCAAAATAAATGATAATTATAATAGAAGCTAAGTCTTTCAAGCAAAAAGCCCCAGGCCATCTGGTTTGACAGAAAGTCAGAATCACTGAATTCAGGAGCAGGATGGTAAATTATAGATCATATCTGTCATCTCTCTAGGTCAGAAACATACTTCTCTAAGAGTGCTCAGTGAGAGGGTGGTACATGCCTGTAATCCTAGCACTCAGGGGACTGTGGCAGGAGGATCACTGCAAACTGGAGCCAGCCTGGGCTATAAAGTGAGTTGAAGGACAGCCTAAACTGCACAGTAAAACTCTGTTTCAAAAAAAAAAAAAAGGGTGCTCAGCAAATCACTGACAGGAGCAAGGGGAAGCCAGAGCACCTAGGCCAGTGTTCTTCCCACAAACAAAGCTGCTCACTATTACAGAAAGGCTTGATGGTTTCACAAGTTAACAATAGTCACAGCACCCTTCTATCTCTGTTTGTTCAGCCCTAGTACATACCCCTGGTCTACCTGGAAATCCTTTACCCATTCCAAACCTCACTGTCATCTTTCACATGAAAGACTCTATGACATCAGCCCAGCTCAGTCTCACTTTGCCATATCCCTCAGTCAGGACACTGTCAATGTCATGTAACTACACACAAGTTACAAGCATCTCTATGGGTCTTGGTGCTGTGTGCTCTTCTCTACCAGGGTGAATTATAACTACGAGGTGCTTGGGCTGTACTAACTGATGGCTCCCAGGATTTTTAAAAGACAGAAATGACAAACTAGATGATAATAAAGTTCACATTTCAAAATAAAAGGCAGCAATTGGGCAGGCATTACTGAGGGAGGGGACTGTGAGAAAGTGTGACAGGATACATTCACTTAGGAAGATGACTCTTCTGTGGTAAATAATCAAGAATATAAATCACAATACAGACTAGAATGTAAGACCCTCTCCACATGCAAACACAAGTAAGAGTTCCAAGAAATCTAATTCCCTTTCACTCCCAATCTCAGGCCAATGTCCAAAGATACCTGCTTCTGACTTCCTCTCCTATCACTGTCACCAGCATCACAGTCAGTTTCGGCTGCCTAGGTTCTAGCTACAATACTGTCCTCTGAAGAGGCAAAAACAAAACATTTTCTGTATTGCAGCACGTGTGTCATGAGTGTTTTGCTCCTTAAAACACATTAATGTTCTACCTCCTCTTCAAAAACTGCTTATAGAAATCATGTTGTTGTCCTCTCTGTGACTCTACTTATGACAACAACATTAAATTTACCAAATAGTAGATGATCAAACAATTCAATAAAAATAAGTATCTCAAACACTATATGCCCAGAAATTAGGATACGAATGTAAGAAAATCCCAGAACAGGATCCAGATCTCAATGGTCCCATCCTGGGGTATATCAGAAAATGGGTATGTTATTTTTCCCTTCAAAAAAAAAAAAAAAAAAAGAAAGAAAGAAAGAAAGAAATTAAAATTATAGCATGCGTATGGAAGAAAAGGGAGAGCAGAAATTTAAAATGTAAGCCAAAAGTGGGTAAGCTAGTTTTTTTTTTTCTTCTACATTTATTGTACCCAGTGCTGTCACTCCAGCAACTGTAACAGTATACAATGCAGAGTAATCACTTTTTCTTTTCTTTTTTTCGAGACAGGGTTTTTGTTTTTGTTTTTTGGTCTTTTTCAGATAGGGTCTCACTATGCAACTCAGCTGGCCTTAAGCTTACTTTATAGCCCAGGCTGGTCTAGACCTCTCCAGGATCCTCTTACCTCAGCCTCCCAACTGTTGGGATTACAAGCGTGTGCCACATGCCTAGTTTGAGACAGGGTTTTGCTATGCAGTTCAGGCTGGCCTTGAACTAATTTACATAGCCCAGGCTGGCTTCAAACTCACAGTAATCCTTCATCCTTCTGCCTTACCCTCTGGAGTGCTGGACTACAGGTGTGTGCCACCATGCCTGGCTCACATATTTTTTGGTCTGAATGACAGGAGATAATTTTAAAACAGTGCGATAAGGGCCAGGGACTTAGCTTAACAGCATAAGCACTGGCCTGGCAAGTTCAAGGTCTGAGTTCTGTCCCTGGTACCAAAAACAAAAACAAAACAGTGTGATAAATGCTATGTTAAACAAACCAAGTGATATTGGAGCACTAGGAAAACAAAAATGTGGAGTAAAGCTTGCCCAGGGAGATGAAGATTTACGCAGGGCTTGAACTAGACAAGAGAACCAGATAGCATGAAGAACATGATATGAGTAGGAAGTGCCAAGGGCTCCTTGCAAGTGTAAGGGCTCCAAAAG